GAGCAGGGCGCAGAGAGGCTGGTTGGCCACCAGGAGGCACCTGAGCCTTGGACCAGTGAGGAGGAGACAAGGAAGAGTGAGCCTGAGGCCAGCAGTGAGTTGTTCCTGGATGCACACCATTGAAGAGCTACTCGGCTGAAGAACAATTACGCAATTACAGGAGGTAATTGCGCTCAGCTGGTGGTCATTAGGCTCCTCTCCAGACTATAAAAGCTACTTGTGCACACAGCCCTCTTTGTAGAAGTCAACGCAGGATTGAATGTCGGAGGACAGTACTGAGAACTTGGCAGGCTGGATTGCTGCCAAGCCTTATCTGTGTTCATTGTTGCCTGAGTTTGTCTGAGTTGCTGCCGAGGTCCTTATCTGTTTGTTATGCTTGGCTTTCAACCACCGAGGTTTTGGTGTTTTGCTAATTAAAGTACATTCCAGTTAAACTTGTCTCGGCATTCGTTACTGGACGGAGGAGGGGGTCAGAACAGTTATGTGTCCCTCTTTCCATTTTTTTAACTTGTCCTTTTTGTCTTTCTATTTGTCAGAGAGATCTTTGTGCAATCATGCTGGTTTCTTCTTGGATATCTTGTTTTTCTTTTTCAGTGGTATTATGCTGGACTGGGCTTTTATGATCATATTTTTCAGTGTTTCCCAAGCTTCTTGTTTTCCCCTTTAGGATTTTCATCCAAGGAATCTTTCCCAAGTTCTCTCTGAGTTTGTTAAAATCAGTCTTTTAAAATCTATGACTCTCATATCATTATGATCTATTGCTTGTGTTTGCATTATGTTGAATTCCAGTATGACATGGTCACTTTCATCCACGGTTTCTGCAGTTTCAACCCCTCTATCACTTCTTCTCTGTTTGTAAGAATTGAGTCCAGTATGGTTGTCCCTCCAGTTCTCTCCTCTAACTTTTGGACAACAAAGTTGTTATCTAGGTTGGTCAGGAACCTATTTGATTTCTCACTGTGCAGAATTATCTTCCAATTGATGTTAGGGTAATTTAAGTCCCCCATTACTATTGTAGTGTGTTTCCTACATATATTTGTGTTTCCTACATATATTTGTTAGTTGGTTAGCAAAAAGGACATCTATTTTTTCTGCTTGGTTGGGTAACCTGTAGTATACACCTTTGGCAATGTCATTCTTTTTTTTTTCTATTGACCCATATGCATTCTATGAGGTTTTCATCTTTGGTTTCATGTATTTCTGTAGCAATATAGTGGTCCTTTACATACAGTGCAACTCCACCTTCTCTTTTATGGAGTCTGGTTTTGGATGATAATAAAGGTAGGTCAATGTTCCCAAAGAAACACATCCAGAAATCTGCAGTCTAATCTAAGTGATGTTAATGTCAGGAAAAGTTCTAGCTGGTTTGAGCATATACTAAATATAATAATAAGAGCAAGCAGCGGTTCATCAAGTTTACAGTAGCTAGTGCAGTGAATATTTAGAATGCAAAGCACATTGATCCTGAGATTTTCTAAAATATGCTTGCTGATTAAATAGGAGGGGGGAAGAGTTGGAGGCCATTACCATTAGATGGATTCACAGCTAATTAAACAACTAAATCCACAAGGAGTCATTACTGGCAGTGGTTCAATCTTGAGGGAGATTTTGATGAAAAGATAGAGGGTGTTTATCAAATCTGAAACCATACAAGTGGAAGGGATAGGTAATACTGAAGATGACAAAAATAGTTCTGCATGCTCAAACTTTTTAAAACTTCATTATTATCACCATGAATATAAGGTATGGGAAAACTGATAAGCTATCAGCAGCTGTAAAGATATAGATGTCAATTGTCAGTTGAATGTAAGTTAGTAACATAAAATTCTGGTTTATAACTAAACCAATGCTTAAATTGGGTGAATAAAAAAAATAGTAAACATAAAGTAGATTTTTGTTCTCTTCATTTAACAAATTAGCTTGCACGTTAAGAACTTTGTTTAGTTTTTAACATCACATTTACGTAAAACTTGACTAATCTGACTCCCACATCCAAAAAAGATTAACAAAAATGACAACAAAATAAAAAACTAAGTCCTATGAAAAATAGTTAAAAGAGCTGGATAGCTGCAAACAGAAGGATAACAAGAGTTTTATAGCATGACATTAAAATTGCAGAGAAGCAGTTATCAACTGATGTATGAGAACCTTCCTAACAGCATGAGACATTTCACATGAAAGATTGCTTAAAGATAAAATGGAGTCTCCTTGACTGAAGTCATCTAAGGAATGGCCAAATATCAGAGTCTAAAACTGTATCTTGTACTGTGGAAACTGAATTGCCTGGAAATTGGAATATATGATGTGTAGGCTCTAATCACAGGATATTCTTAACTGGGTTGGGAGAGATGTATTTGCATATACCCTAATATTTCCTAATAACAATGAGATAGAAAGAGCTCATTAGCTTCAGTCGATATTTATACTCGCTGATAAAGAGAATAAATGTTGAGTGGTTCTACAAAGCTGGGGAACTTCTAGAAATTATCTCTAAGTTTTATAACTTTATTATGCAATCATCGGTTTGCAGGAACAATAATGGCTGGAAACAGGTTCTCCACTCTTAGTTAATTCAATCTTTTTTGGGCAATGAACATTTTGATAAGGTTTTAATCTTAGTCTGTAATAAAACCACAACATAGCTATCATTGACTAAAACAACATCAAGTAGGAGATTGTCCTCAGATAGAATGAAGATATTACAGCCTCTTTTTTAAAATTCATCTTTTTCTCTGACTTTCCTATTCTTTCAGCAGCTTAATGGAAACTCTACTTTGTATTTCTCACACTTAATGGGAAACTAGCTTTCTCGGTATCATTTATAAATATTGAAATTACTTCTGGGTTACTATTTTATATCTAATAGGTCCCCCATAAAAACCATAAGCTAAGAATCCGAGTTTGTTTAGTTGTATGACAAGTAACACAAAAACATGAAAAAAGTATTTCTATGATACATCTTTTAGACTTTTGGGGCAATTATTAAATAGTCAAAGCAAACAAGCTCTTCTTCCAAAAGCAAATAGAAATATATATGACAAAATAACTGCTGCATGCTGCAAAGTGTTGTTTAGCCACAATATGCTTGCTTATAATTGTAACTAGATATGAATCAAACTTTCAACTTCAAAATTCCAACACATGTTCATATAACTTGAAAGCATTTCTGTAAGCAGATACCCTCTAATCCATGATATGCTGGTGAATTATATCTTTCAATAATTTTCAGTACTAGTTGCTATTACTTGGATAGTCAGTAATTGTTTGTCATCAACATAATACACGGTTGATCTCACAATTCTGCTGAGATTTGCAAAATAATACAACAAGGATATTTAATGTAAAGATTGTAATTGTGAATGAGAAACAGGTGTAGCATACCTGATAGATATCAGATAAACTGCTACTGCCAGAGTCACTAGTGATGCTACATCCTGAATGACTAGATGAAACGTGGGTCACCTGTGGGTGGAGACTGTCAGTGAGGTGCAGTTTTGTAAAATCTGCAGGTAGCTGTGAACAGAAGAGAAACATATCTTTAGGTTTAATGGCAAAGATTTTCATAAAATTTTTAAAATTTCACAATAATGTTTTTACTAAGATATGAACAAATTATTAAGTATATTCATGGTTTAAGAATATGGGAAGAAATATTAAAATGCAATACTTTATAGATGAAAATCTTGAAGGTTCATTATGCTTAAACAGCAACAACCTTTATTGTTTTTCAAAGAAAGGAATATGCATATCTAAAACAGACCTTTCAATAAGCCCTATTTAGCAGTAATTTCTACTGAAATCATTACGAGTTTTAGAATTGATAGGAGTATTATAAGTGCAATTAAGATTACAGGTACTGATTTATATGAGTGGAGCCCCTGTTAATTTTTAAATATAAATGATTTGTACAGAACTAGAAACAATATTTCAGTTACTGGAATAAGTATCCATCCTTTCTGATGCCTACAGAGAGTCATTATAAATACAGTAACCTTCAGTTTATCAGGGGAAAGCTATGTGTTATATATTAATTACAGTAAAATTTATATTCAGTCAATTTACATTGTTTAACAACAACATCATTATACAAAAGATATATTGATACAATTTATCAAAATTTATTTAAAAAATCAATAAAATAGATTTTTTTCTGCTATCGGAGATATTAGCAGGAAAATTTTGTTGTTTGTTACATCTACATTCTGCTGAACTAAGGTATTTTAAATTGATGACTTACTGTACTAATATTTTAGACTTAGCAATGCTTTTTCATGTGTTCCTCACATATTAGTATGATTTTAAAAAATTGTTGTTAAAAAAAAGAGTACACGATTAACAAATTCTCCAACCTTTATTTTGGAAAAAGTATGTTAAAAACTGCTATAACATGTAATATTTTCTTTAAGCTCTAATGGCAAGAATTAATCTTATGTATTCAATAACAATAATAAATTTTTCAAAAGTGTCTGTCTGAAAATTTATTTGTACCAAGTATGTGCAAATTTATTGAGAATTCTGATGTACATTTTTTTCTATTTCCTGGGAACCTTAGCTACTGTATTTTTCGGAGTATAAGACGCTTTTTTCCCTCAAAAAAGAGGCTGAAAATCTGGATCCATCTTATACACTGAATACAGCATTTTTGCCTCCCGAAACTCCGCCCCTTCACCAAAATGGTCATGCATAGCCTTTAGGAAGCTTTCAGAGTGCTTCTGAGGGCTGGGGAGGGCAGAAATGAGCGAAAAACTACTGTTTTTTGCTCATTTGGGGGAGGCAGCTCTCAGGAGCACTCTACAAGCCTCCTAAAGGTTGTGCATGCCTTTTTTTAAAAAAAATAAAAACCAAAAACGGGTCGTTTTCGGGAGGTCTGCAGAGTGCAAAAATCTTTTTTTTAAAATTTGCCTCTTCAAAATCTTGCTGCGTCTTATACTCCAGTGTGTCTTATACTCCGAAAAATACAGTTCTTAGAATTTCCAGAAGTACCAACAACTTTGACCCTCTCTTTGACACACAATAAAGTATTTTATGCCTCCTCTCAATTTGCTTCTCTGACCATTTTTGGTTTTGGAACTGAACCAAGCATGGACTAATGAATGGACCACAAATATTGAACAACAGTATACAGAATGAGACATAGCTCAGCTCAACTGAAATGTTCCCAAATTGAAGTATTCAAAGAGCTTAAGGACATTTTCAAACAAGAACACAGATATTTCCCAGCTCAAGCTAAAGAAATTCAGCTAATATTGATAGTAGTACTTTCCATCTTTGGTCTGCATTTAATCAGATCAGTAAATGTACAGTATTATAGTCATTCAATGCATGTTTAAACACATTTTTCTCCTATGTCCTCATATACAGCTGTGTGAAAAAGTCCTACACGATTTGCGGTTTACGGTTTATGACATTTTTTGGTTAGGCCATTGATT